TAAATGAAGAAAATTTCTTAGAAWTTGGATAACCGTATTACCTGAAACTAAGAAAACAACCAGAGAAGCAGGAAAAATAACCGGTGTTGGTAAAACAACATTSATTTTAGTGCAGAAAAGGAGTAAGTTGAAAACAATTGGGTTCGCACGAGTCCAGTTCTGCCGAGAACGGAAAAGTTGTTGAGAAACGCGTTAAATGTTCTGATGAAAACAAATCGTTACCTTTCTGATGACAAGTCATTTTATTGGTATCGTTAGGCCGAATAGCCCAAAAAGCATCAAGCTAATGAAAAAATGTGAATGAGCTTTCGGAGCGTGTGAAGACAATGTGGACAAATATTTTTCGTAACACGTTTGAAAAATTGGTGGAAAGTATGCCAAAATGAATAAATAGCAGTTTAAAAAGAGGAAAAGATGTTTGGCAAAATAATCAAACTTTAAAATCTTAAAATCAGATTAGCGCGCAGAACTGTACGCATTAGTTTTGATTGGCTTTCCTATGGATTTATTGSTTTATTTTTCCTTTTCTAATTTTTTAACACTATCTTGAAAGAAATATGTGTATCTCTGACTTATTTAGCAAAATATTTGCTTTGCTTGGTTGTATAATTGAGCAAAACATGAATTTAATGAGTTGATGTATGTTTATATTTTTGAAATTATTCGGGCAGAAAATTATCTTTTGCCTATTTTTGTGAACCGAATATTTTATTTTCTATGACAAAACTAGCAACGACATAGTGATATGTGTTGAGCTCAGATAAGCCACGCTATGTTCGGCAAAGCAAATATATGCTTCTTTTTATGGTTAGCAAATATGGTCATATTTGTACATAAAGTAAGACTAATATTTTGTATCGAAATATTTAAAAAACCATAAGTTTTTTGCGATTTTATGCTGTATATGGTTTATTAAATTTTTTGTGGAATAAGTTTAGTTTTCTTAGATATTACTGTTCCATTTTACCATAAACTGGCTATTGTGAGTTATTTTCACAAGAATGTGTGTATTGATAGCAGAGCATTGAATCAAAAAAAATAGTTTATGTTT